CTTGATCCCTAGACACTTTTGATGTGTGTATATATTATATTATTATGTCGAATTTTGTACAAATTCACTTAAAGGTATTTTAAAGAGTTGGGCAGATACATACATACAATTATTATTACAAATGTGAAAATAAGCGTGTACTATAAGAAATGTACCGATATTCTAACTAAACGTAAACTCAAATATACGTAATTCCGATTTATAACAAAACCGTTACGCTTTCGAGTAATTTTGATGCTTTTTACACAGACAAAATTAACTTTTGTTTTGTAATCTTCGTAAAAACACATTATGAAATTTCGAGCTAATGTTATTTCGGACTTCTGATAGGAATCCTATGCCGTAAAACGAGTACAACAATATTTTGTTAGTTATTGCTAACGTTTAATAAATATGCCTCTTCACGCCTCGTTTGAAGGACCCCATATCATAAGAGGGAGGGAAGACATGTGCCGGAAGGGAGTTCCATTTGTCAACCGTGCGGCAGAGAAAGGAGCCACCGAACCTTTTAGTACGCGATGGAATGCGGCAGGTAGTGAAACGGTGACTACGAAGGCCAGCACGCGTGCTTCTGAGCAGGAACGGGGAAGGGGGGATGAGGTTGAACAGCTCCTCAGAGCACTCACCATGGTACATGCGGTAAAAGGCGCTAAGCGATGCAACATATCTACGCAGTTGCAGAGGTTCAAGGCGTGATGAGACCTCGATCGCTTGTGGTTCGAACAATTGAAAATGACCAAGAAGTTTATACAAGCTTCTTGAAACTGCCGTAGTGGGTCTCTTTCCATCTTTTGCGCATGCAATGAGTAGAAAAAGAACAGTTAGCTATTTCATTATTTCGTGTGCTTTTGTAATTTATATTTACGATTCAGTTATATGTAAATTAAATACTATAAAACTGTACAAAATAACACGTTTAAATGACAACTATGATAACACAACATATTTGTTTAGTGAAAAAATGATACAAAATCCTGTTATCACACTTTATTGCAGTAATTTTTACAAGTTATTATTTGTACTGCATAATATTGGTACTGCATGATTGACAACCGCGCTGTCACTCGAACAAACGAAGGCTATTGCGCGATTGACATCCTGTATGTGATTTTAACGCCCTACAGGTGCGGACACTTTTTAGCGCGAATCCGACGTCCATTTATTGGTAGGTCAATGTTCAATGTAGTATTTTCACAAATGCATTAAAAAACGTCGTCTGATACACGTGCGGATTTTTCATTTTCACTTAATGTCTTAATGTTTTATTTGTTCATTTTAAAGGGCATAGTACAGAGGCGGAAATTTCTATTTAAGCTTGTTAGGGCCTGTGTTAGGTTAGGTTAGGATTCCCCCGGATTAACAAAAAAAAAAAAAGTTAGACAGGAATGCAATATGCAATAATAGATTGTACAAGGGAAACACAAATCTCTTTAAGGAGATCTCTAGTAGTGACTTTGGTCGCAGCTAGATCAGTTTTGACAGTTTTAGACCATTTGGCATGACATACCTCAGTAATTTGAAAATCCAGGTTAGTTTCTTCATTCTCATTGTTATATGTTCGAGGTGCGGGTACCACGAGAGACGCAGGTCCAAGATGATACCTAGGTATTTTGTTTGATCAACCCTTTGTATGCGCGGGCAAGTACAAGACTTTAGAGTCTGTAAAGTTTTTGTCACAGTTGTGGACTCTTATGTAGAAATCCTCACAAGGTTGGGTATTTTTATAATTAGCAAAACACAAAAAATTGATCTTTTCAGCATTCAAGAACAGAATGTTACTACACAACAATTTGTTTATTTGTTTGAGCCCCAGCTCGACACTGACCCTTATAGAGTCCCATAAATCCACAGCAAAAACGACGGCAGTGTCATCCGCATACGCAAATATTTTAGCATCCTTGACCGTCATATTACATAGATCAGTAATATATGTATATGAGGAATAGTGTTGGACCAATGACGCTACCCTGAGGCACACCGTATGTCACCCCAGCACTGTCACTAATGCAACTCACAAGCTTGACTTTTTGAGACCTGCCTGTTAGAAAATTTGAAAACAAGCGTAATGGAATCCCTCTTATGCCAATCCTTTCAAGCTTGTGAATTAGGATAGGTATAGAGACATAGACAGTATCAAAGGCTTTTTGTAGATCTAGGAATACCGAAATGCATTTTTTCTTATTATCAAGTTTTTCAGTAAGTGCAATTACTGCATCTTCAGTAGACATTGCATGACGAAAACGAAATTGCGAGTCTGACAGGATGTTATACTTATCTAAATAATTAATGAGTCTTTTGTTAATTCGTTTTTCGAATATTTTACAGAATACTGGTAGTACTGAGATGGGTCTGTAATTGCTGACATCGTCTCTATTTCCACTCTTGTACACAGGAGTTATGATTGACTGTTTGAGTAAGGTTGGAAATATGCCATCGCTAAAACAAAGATTTGCAGCATGTGTGATTATGGGGACAACTTCTTTTGCTAGTTTCACAAACAGGGTCGGATTATTATCCCACCCAAGCGCACTGTCTGACTTGAGGCTTGCAATAATATAACTAACTTCCAATATGTCAGTAGGTTGTAAAAAAAAGGAGTTCGGTTGAGAAGATAGACTATTTAGACTTGTCTTGAGTCTTGACCCTCGCCTCTGAATAATGACTAACTTTCCGCACTTGTATCAAAAATAACTATTTTGGCCTTCTATTCTGGCCCGAGGCAGAGGCGAGGGTCAAGACAAGACTCGAGACAAGTGAAAATGACAAATCCGCACGTGTATAAAACTTTAAAATTTGCGAAAAAACTACATCGAAAGTAAAATAAAACAGTATGTTTTAGTGGCGCGGCGGTCTCGCGTAATACTCACCTCCGGTCATTATCGCTGTACTTATTTCACCTTTCTAATTTGTGATTTCAGCGCAAGCCTGAGTTGATATTTAAAAGTTATATAAGGCCCATTTACCAGGGATGGATGGCCCTTATTTCGTCTCTATTTCTGGTTATACTCGATGGTAAAAGGTCATTTTGTATGGAGTATTATTATACGTATATTATGTGCCATAATACCTAAACCCTGAACACCCTTGTGATATCTCAACTTACGCATATTTATTGAAAAGTTTGTTTTTGCGATTTCGCGAACGTGAAGACTCGGTGTCGCTCTCAGTCGTCGTGTACTCATCGCTGGCAGCCAGTTTGACGGTACGACTGTAATAAATTAATACATTCTAAAAAATAATTTAAACGCACAGGTAATTGCAAACTGACTAAATGTTTACAAATAAACACATACAACACACGCGTGTGTCTGTCTGACCCACACACAGACACGTACGCACGCATATACATTAACGTGAACTATCCAATCACATATCTACCTTGGTGTGTTTTTGGAGATAGTCCGCCGACGTTGCGTGTACCGGTTGAGTTTTAATTTTTCGCGGAATCCTCTACTCCTCACACCCGACCCTCGAGCTAAAACAGAAACAGTTACCGTAAGGTTGATTCGAGACAGCACTAATCATTGGCATTTCATTAGTTTATAAAAATTTAAAAGTATTTGTTACTCCTGTTAATTTCAGAACGAGTTCTTTCTCCGCAACCTTTAAATGTTAGTCATAATTATAATTTCCATTTACATGAAAAGCTGAGTATTTCCTACATATATATTATTAATAGCGGTAGAGATAGATTCCTACAAATACGAGTCGTGCCAATGGAACAGCGCCCTAAGGCCCCAAAGCACTTCTAAGTTAGTACAAGCAAACTATACTTACAGAATAAAAATTTCGTAAATGTTGTTCAAAGCAGTATTGGAGAAAATGTAGCAATTTTAGTACAACAATCTTTAATTACCACAGGCAACCATGCCCTTTTCATGTTGTATCCGATAAGCTGGCCATAGGTATCCTGAGCAATAATTGTATTAATTCAGGCTGATTTGGTGTTATCAAGATACATATGACCAACTGTAAACTCACCACTTGAAAATCCGAACAAATTCGCTAATACTTTTTCCCTTGATTTATTCACTGATGAACAACTAGATTTTGCAGGTAGAGATACAGAATCAGATTCGGAATTCGATTTCAGTACTACTACGTCTTCACAATTACTTGCATTGTCCGCTTTTAACGTACTCTTCTCTTTCTGAGAATTAGATGCGTTATTTACATTATTTTTGTTTTTATGCTCTTCAACCCCTTGACATACAGTGGCAGCCAGTTCTTTTACTTTACTTTGATTGTTATTGTCAGAATCACTGTATTTTGATGTAGAAAATTGCTCAGCAAATAAACTGACACTTTTGAGACATGGGTTTATTTCAGCAGGAGAAATCTTAGGGATTGGTGCTGTACTAATTATAGAAGATCTAGTTTCACATTTGTCTTTTATGTCTTCAGACACAGCATCTGACTTGCAGTTGGATTCTTCATTGACAATACTTTTTAGAACTACTTCATGATTTTCATCATTAATTTGTACTTCATTACTATTAAGTTCACTGGATACAGCTTGATCATTATAATTAGTTGTAGTAGATGATTCTTTCTTTTTATTTTTTTTAAGTTTCTTTTTGGACTCTGTGCTTGTTTGAGAATGTTCCCTTTTACGATACTTTTTCTTATGTTCTTTATCTTCCGCCTCAGGTACTGAAATATCATTAATAGATTTTCGTTTATCATGAGCTTCTTGATAAAGAAGACCCTCTTGATTGTTCGGAAGTTGTGTATCGACTGTAGAAGTAGAGCTGCGTTGTGTTGTTTTCTCTGAATTTTCGGAATCACGTTTCGTTGCATTTGCATTTTCCGAATTTTCTGTAGAAATATTATTGTTTGTCTCAACATCCTTTTCTTTAGTTTCAGAGTTGTTGATACAAACTGGATCTTTATTTTCCCAAATGCCCATCTGAGTTTTTTTAAGCTTCAATGACTTAATTTTTGAAAGTTCTGTTGGTTTCTGGAACTCAACTTTTCCGTTCATTTGTTTATTCTCTGCATTTTCAGCAACTTTTTTAGGTGACTGTTTGTCATAGCTTTTAGACAGGCGCATATCCGGAGAATCGCTTTTGCGCGTTCCTGTGCCATTTTTATGTAGGTTGTCCTCAACAATTTGTAATTTAGGTTCATCGTCTTCATCAGTGTCGAAATCATGTAAAACTTCTTGCAACATTGGAGTAAGAGGCTCCGTATAAATTATGCAATCCCTAAGAGATTTCATCGCTACATCATCATTAGCGTTATTTGGAGATAACTGATCACTCTTAGTATCTTCGGCATTTTGACAGCAATTTTCAAGTACAAGAGTATCAGTAGAAGATCTAGTTAATTCTTCAATTCTGGAACATTTTATACTCTCACCTGTGTCAATTTCTTCATGGTTTTTACTTGTACTAGGCTGATCTTTGTCTTTGTTGTTTTCTACTGAAAAATTATAACCATTTTAATATTTAGCAGCAGTAGAGCTCCTTGTGAGAATTTAATAATAATAATAATAATAACACACACACAACATAGCCCCGCACTAGGGAAACCCTGTGTCGCGGGTGCCATGGACACACATATAGACAACCACAAATTACACCCAAACTCACGAGAGAAACAAATGTAGGTCATACAAATATTTCTCCCGGCCCGGGAATCGAACCTGGGACCTCTGCGTGGCAGTCCGGCATGGTAACCGTTCGGCCACAGAGGCAGTTAGAATTCATCCAGGGAAACACTGCCACCTTACCTATTTCTGCCACCAAGCAGTAATATGAGCATTATTGATTCCAGTTTGGAAGGGTAAGGGTGCTGGTAAAATTACGGGCACATGGGGCTTGTTAACATATGTCTCAGACTGGCGGGCGCAGTGGCAGTGGCCCTAAGATTTTTGCGATTTAAAGCTGTGAGTGGCACTGCAACTGTTACGGACAGGCGTGTCGTTTACCACCAGATGCACGACTTGTTTGCCCCGTCACTTGGTATTATAAAAATAAATAAATAAAAGCAGAACACTTTTTAAACTAATTAATAACAAAGTATGAAAAATACATACCATTACTACTGGAATCAGTAATTGTATGAACTTCCAGTTTGTTTTTGGACGATACATTATGTCTGAAAATGTGCATCATGGTGAGAATTTTATCACAGGTAATAAGTAATTTTATTATTCATTCAATGTTGTTAGTACGAACCCTTGTCGGAAACTGGATATTTGCTCCACAGTCAACCTATAGTAAGGATTATGTATATCTGGGAGAATTCGCTTCATAAATGTCTCCTTTAGACTTTGCCATGTGCGGTCCAGAGACTGGAACAAACATTTACTTATTTAGAAAAATGCCTATAATGTTGTTTGTCAACAAAATTATTGCAAATACTTTGCAGCCCATAATACATTTGTACAAAATATCCCATACAAGGAAATTTTCTTAGGTAGCAGAAATATCTCATTGCCGAATATAGGTAATATTTCTTTAGCTTACCTGTGAATTTGCAAACTCAACCCACATTTTACGACCTCTGATCTCAGAATAAGCATTATGTTCTGTCAAATATTCCACTATCTGCTTCATCTCCCGCATTGTGTATGGTTTCCTAAAATTTATTAATTTGATTTCCAAAAGTAAGTAACTTAAAAACTTTACAACTATAGTTTGGCTGAGGTCTCCTGTTGGGTAATTTGCCAAAAAATTACGAACAGAGGAAATTTTCCCCAAGTTGGAAAAATATAATTCGAAAGCTCATATTATGTTCTATATTTAGATATAACTTTGAAATTTTATTTAGCATGAAAATAAAATAAAAGTTTATACCTAAAAGCAAGTTAAACAAGACTTCAAATTATTGGACAACAGTACAAATAAAAAAAATTCTTTATAAGAATGTTAAAAATTAAAAAAAATATATAATGGCACCATTGTCTTCTTTCAGTATCTTCAAGTTTATACTACTTTACTACTACTACTTTATACACATAAATATATGAAAAACATTGTGAAAAATATGAATTATTCAAAATGGAAAGTTTTCCATGACCCAACACTAATAAAGCCTGACACATGACAGATATGTACGTACATTATACATAACAAAATTATATTTAGGTCTGCAGGAAGAAATTTGATATAAGATAGAGAGAAATAAGCACTACTTTTCTTTGTGTTTTCCTTTTTGTTAAATGTATTCTGTGCTTTTTTCCTGTGCAATAAAATAATAATTATAATAAAAATTAATAACTAGCATAAAGATATGATTATGCTTCACACCATTATGCTTTTTTTATAAATTGAATTGCAAGGAATATGTTGAAAGTGGAGCAAGTATGAGCTATCATACACACTATCCAGCACAAAAGGATATAAAAATATAAAAAATAGTCTTTGTAAAAGTAACAAAACACTAAATATTACTGGTTTAAATCTTATAAAATTATCAATATGAAATAGTAAACCTCCAAATAGTTTCACGTTTGCAATGAGCGAGCTGACTTAACAGATTTTGTTTATATATAAATTTCCTATGCTGAAAATAAAAATATGTATTAACATGTCTTCGCACTAGAGCAGCTACATTGCAAAAGGCACCAAAACTGCCTATGTGGCATTTCTTGTGCATTACCCGGATTGTAGGTACTTTTTCATACTTTATAAAATGTGAAGAAATGTTATCCAAATATAACCTAGTTAGATGCAAATTTTTACCTTTGTATCATTGACTTTATACAACCTTTCTGATAACATTACCATGTTGATTTGTTACTATGCTAGAAAAGACCTTTAGGTACTGCCAGAATATATAAACAATGTAATTTTTTACTCCTATTCTCCTAACTAATGATGGCCATTACTATCTTACAAAGAATTTGACTTTGATTTCTGTTTAGAATACATTTTTTGGTTAATTACAAAAAGGCGGGCAATTGAGAAAAGTAACATTTGAATTGTAATATTACTTGGAGGTTACACACGTAAGATTCGCTTCATAATTGCTAGCGCCAGCGCGATATCTAAAAACACTTACCCAGGCATTTTTGCAGCTTTTTATATAGTTCACAAAGTGCAAAATGAACTGAAATATTTTTTTGGTATGCAGTGTCGCGAGAAACTAATAAAATCAATTTCACCTATTTTAGCTTCAAACGTTTCTGAATTAAAACAACACACGCTGTATAAAAGTTGTCCTATTGTTGGAAAACATTTAAAAAATCCTGAAATTGATAAATATTACTTCGCAAAAATGCCGTTATCTGACGTTGTCTATGGAACTGACAGAACCAAGACAAAGCTTCGCTTTCTTCCGTGTCCAACAAATTTTTTTTCCTGTTATGTTAGCCTACATATCATCCGACTTTTTTATGTATTTAAAAAAATTTAATGTGTTGGTTGTTTGACATGTTGCCTAATGGTGTCACTTCACATGGCTATTTCGTAAGCAAAAAATCTTGCAAAAAATCTCCAAATTATGTACTAGTTGTAAGAAATTCACCATCTTTGTATACCTTTTTTGTTATTGGGTTTTACGTGCAGAAAGATAGTGACTTTCTTACCATAGTTATATAAATTAAAGACTTGTGGAAAATCCCACTTATGTGGTTTTACCTTTAAACAGACGATTTGTATTTGCGTATTTGATATATTTGGTATACAATCATCAGAATTGGTGAAATTGGTATTGGCAGCATTGCCCTGGGCCGCAATTTCAATGAAGTAGTCTGCCGATTCGGCAAGTGCAGACGACTCCCAGAAGTTCGGCGTAAATGGTGAGTTAACTGCGTCGCCTGTCTGTTAACCGAAATATTCTGTCGATTTGGCAGACGACCCGGTGTAAATGAGCTCTACTGAGTCGTCAGGCGATCGTCGCTTGCCAAATGAAGGCGGCAAGTGACGATGACGAATAGTGAGTCGTCAGACGACGGAGTTCGCAGGCGAAATCGAAGTTTCCGTATATTCAAGGTACTTTTTGGACTGAAGCGACTGCGATGTAAACGCTAGGGCGACACGGTCGCCTTTCGCAAGCGACGCCGACGACGGTCGACCGAGCAGAGCACCACGATGATGTGTGCTGGGCAGAGTTGCCAACTTATGGAGAATTTCCCAAACTGCTGGGATTTCGTGGGGATCGGAATAATGTGTGATTTTTACATTTTATCATTTATTAACCTACCCTTAGCTGATACATCGATAGTTTGATGGTTGTTGCTAAAAAAACACCATACACGTGTGCGATGTGTTCCCGAGATTTCGAAATAGTAATTTGCTTATTGTATGCGTTGCCATTTGCGAAGATGTGGCAAAAACAATGACCGATTAAAAATAAATTAATTTTATTATTAAAATTGAAATGAAAAAAAAAAATGTCCCAAGTCAACCTATTTAAACCTAGTGACATGTAAAGGAATATGAAAAAGCTAAAACGTTGAATTTAAATTGTAAGGTCATTGCAGTACTGCCTAATTTTGCTTGCAACAATTGAAAGACGCAAAAAACACCATATTCAGCTTCTACTGGAAACTTACCAAAATGCACCATCTATAGCTTCTAGTCAAAACTACTTGAACACAGGGATAATGGACTAGTCTTTATTATTTATAAACAAATTTTATACGTAAATGTTGAATTTTATACAATGCCATTTATTACGAGGTTGGGTGTCTGAGACTTTTTTTTCTTGAGTTCCGACAATTTTCGTGCCCGATTTCTCGAGTTATTCGAGATTTTTTTAAAACCGTAAAAAATCCGCTCAATCAACTTTAAAACTAAATGTGAACTTTTCGAAAGTGGTTTTGGTCTGGGTGGTCTGAGTTATGCCCCGGAATAAATTCCATCGTTCTTGGTCCCAGGTTCGATTCCCAATAGAACCAATTTGGGAAATGAACTTTTGTAAATTGGTTCTGCTCTGGGATTCTGTTGCTCTGATACTCATGGGGAGTATGAACATAGAGTTCCCTAGTTTCAGACCAGGTGACTGTCTTATAATAGAATACCAAGACCAGAACCATTTAGATAAGTTAATTTATTAAATTGATCCTACCGGTATCGAACCCGGGAACTTCTTATCCAGTGCCCACAGTGCAAACTTTAAAAGTGAGGCTATCAAGGTTGTACTATTTGTATTATTATGTATTGTTTGCATGTGAAAGCTACAAATTGCTTAAACTTTAAAAAAAAATCCTATTTAATTTGTACTGTCAGTCTGCTTCAATTACCTTCTTTGTTTCTTAAGTTGGTATATTTTGTCATTCACCTAACTTTTGATTTTTAATGCAGTTTGGCGGTGTAAGATGTTCTCTGTTAATACTTGTCACTTTCTTCTTAAATTCAAGCTATGTTTCCTGGATAAATTCCTGTATTATCTCCTTTCTATGCACAGTTCACTCATTGATGTAATCACATACCAAAGCTTTAATATTATGGTCTTTTATCAAGCTTGCATCAGCTCTGGTTTCCTTTCTTTTCTTACCATTTTCTTAACCCGTTCGTGTATAGTACTGAATTATACTGCGCTCAAAAACGTCACCACTTTTCTATATGCCGTAGTGCTTACATTGATTCAATTGTGTGGTAAAACCTTGTAAAAATTACTCAACTAAAGTGAAAAAAAGTACCACATTGTGTTATCATAATTATCATTTAAAAGTGTTATTTTATGCACTAGTACATATACACACATCAAAAGTGTCTAGGGATCAAGTGAATATTTTTGAAATAAAAATTATTTAA